GCATATCAAGGGGGCCGAGACCTCCGTGGAAAAGTTCATCAAAAGAGCAGGATGAAAAGGAATCTTTGCAGGCAGCCTGTGAAAGCTTTGGGGCTGTGCTTTGTGAGTCTGTGTGGCTGATTGCACGAGTCTTTAATCCTGGCTTGTTGCTAAAGAGTGGCTCCAGGAGAATATTAACCCTTATTGAGCACCTACTATAGGACAGGCACAGTGCTAAACAACTTTACAAACATGCTTCACTTTAACAGAGCCCAGAAAGGGGCTCAGCACAGAGTAGGTGCCCAATAAGATCCACGGCATGGATCAGTGACTTTAAGCCCCCTGGCAGCCGTGGGAGGTGGCTGGTTTTATTAATGAACACTTGGCAGATGAAGCAAGAGAACCAGAAAGGGGCGGTTCTTTGCCTCATGCAACACAGCATGCAAAGTGGAGAGCAGAGTCCAAGCCCCCAGGTGTCTGATTCTGACACCAGATCTCTTTCCTGTCAGCCATGGCTCCTCCTTTCTCAGCAGGATGGGCTTCCTGGAACAGGTGGCCATGCATGGGGCGGAAGGAAGTGAGAAGCCCGGGAGCTGTCCAGGACTGGCAGTGCTGAAAGGAAGAGCACAGATTCCCAGCTGGGGCAGCTCATGACTTGCCTTGGCCACTAAGTCATTTTACTCTCTCACTTGGCGACCCCTCTCCGCAAATCCTGCATTCCCAGCTGCCTCTCCTGCCACCACCCAGGCCAGGTGATCTAAAACTGACAGTTACCGGTCAGCTGCTAGATGACAGAAAGGGAGATCTGTTTGTCTCTCAAACCCACCACAACCCCCAGTATCACCAACACCAAATCTCCAGTCTAAGGTAAGAGAGGCACAGATCCCAGACAATGCAGACTATTTAGCCTGGAGTCTTAATGGAATGTATGTTTTCATGATTTATGTTATTGCTCTGGCCTGGTCCTTCTCTGGGCCATTCTCCAAGCTATGCCCAGAGCTCCAATTCTTCAAGTGATGTCATGATTCTCCTTACAATTCCAAGAGGCCTCCCCATCACCTTCAGGATGCAGCCTTCACTTCTTGGCATGGCACTCGATGTCCTTCCAGAACCGGCCCTGCTTGCCTCCACCTTCATCTGTCCCCTCTCCCACCTGCTCTCACTCTCCCAACATTCTAAATGCCTCATCTATTTAACACCCCCATACCGGGTTGTTAAAAGCAGCTGTGGGGCTGGTGGCAAGGACAAGCATTTCAAAGAAAAGGAACAGTATGTGTGAAGTTCTGGTCCTCTGGCCTGGGTCATTCAGGCCTCACTTCCTAAGGAAGACCTCCGGCTGACCACGTCTCCTGTAGCCAGTCAGCTCTCCATCCCTGAGCTAGCTCTGCAAACAGAATGTGCTTCAGCCCCATCGCTCAGACAAGGAAAGAAATGACCCTGCAATGCTTCATCCTGGACAGTAAGCTAGCGCTTCATGATGTTTTATTCGTTTTGAATCACTAGTACCTATCTGCATGTGAGCAGGTCAAAATAAACAGAAGAGCCAGGTTTTTGCAACAGAATCTGTTCGAAGGAGGCTGATGTATACAGAAATAACAACAGCGGGCACCTACTGTATGACAGAATCTTACATATTTGGCACTTGCTAAGTATTTTTTATATGTTAGCTCACCAAAGCCAGAGGGTAATCATCAAACCCACCATGAGGTAGGCATCTTTATTAGGCCCATTTTACAGATGGGGAAACTGAGGCACAGGAGGTTAAGTAGCCTCCCCCAAGGCAACAGAGCCAGAAAGCGGCACAGCAAGCATGCTCATCCAGGCAATCTGGCTTCAGTCCCAGCCCTCATCCCTGTCACCACCTGCCTCTCTTAGGATAGGGGACCTAGTGGTGGGAAAGGCAATGAAAGTCTCTTCTAGAACCAGGAGGCTTCTAGTGTTAACGTTGACTTTGTTCTCTACATCAGCAGAACCTAGCACTTCTACAAGAGTTATCTCAGGGCACCTGGGCATTCAAAGCCAGCCCAAACACAAAGACAAGGGTGCCAAGCCCCCACCTTGGCAACAGAAACTGGCAGGACTTGGGAATGGCCTAGTTAAGGACCCTTCCGTTTGTCCCTTCTGTCAGCCCCACCCAGCCCTCCATCCCCAGCTGCCAAGACCCTGCCTCCCACCCCCTGCACCTGGCTGACCCTGGCAGGCAGCCCCGGACCCCTCGTGGAGGGAAAGCTTCCCCCAGCTCCGAGCAGCTGCCGGGCCTGACGTGCCAGAAGTTCCGCCTTGGGTTGATGGCCCCGCACAGCCCCACGGAGCTGCTATTTTTAATTTAATTGGAGAGTGGAAGGAGAGAGATGATACCCAGTGAGAGAGTTTAAAAAAGCGTTCGGCATAGGGAAGGAGGGAGAGAAGGCGAAGGAAAGTTCGTAATTATACACCAGGAAGCCAGATTTGATGCTTGGACTGAAAGGTTAAATGTTACATTCAGAATGAAATGAGAAAGAGAGTTCTGATGACAGTTGCCCAGAGCTAAATAAAGGGGAAAAAATACCCCTTGCCCAGCTCCCTCTGCTCCCTCAGACCCAGTTCTGTGCTTTCCCGCTTCTGCTGTTTAAGCCCAGGAGTACACATATCAACCGGCGTGGAGCACAAAGATTACTCTATATCAACACCTGCTTGCCACCCAAAAGCAGCTTTCATTAGAGTTTAGGAAAAATCACAGGTTTCGCCTCTCAGGCCAACAGATCTAACATCATCCAGGACACTGGGAAGGGGCTCTAGCATTGTCGGTAACAATATGAACTTAACTATGGATGGACCTAGGTTCAAATCTCTCCTCTTTCACAGGACAGATGTGGTGGGTCAGCTCACCCAACATCCATGTGCCTCCTATTGCTTCCTTTGAAAAAAAATAAATTCTTACCCAAGGATATACTTATTGATTTTATGGGAACCACTGTTGGCTCAGGTTTGGGGACAAATCTGTGGCCAAGAGAATCTAGTTCCCTCTGTCATAGACAAGGTGAGCTAGTCTCTGGCTTCTGAATTCCTCCCCCGGTCCCCGAAACATCAGGGTTCCTTGGGCTTCAGTCCTCCACCCGTGTTACTCTATCCCTGTTCCCAACATTGGACCTAAGAGCCCCTTTTAGAAACAACCGGACAACACAGTAGTGGAGGCCCAAACTGGATGTGAACCCCACTTTCACCACTTATTAGACAAAATATTTGTTAAACAAATAGTACATCATGGCTCCTTTCTCTGTATTAGAGTAAACAAGACAGTTGCTGTAACAAGCAACCCCCACATCTCAGTGGCTGAACATACTGACATACTCTTCCTCATGTGCCAGTGCAGTGTAGGTTGGGGAAGGGGCTTAGTCCCACCCAGTCATGCAGGCTCCTTCCATCTGCAGCTCTACTGTCCCCTTCCCCTTTGCATCCTCTGAATCCCATAGGCCGAGAGGGCTATTTTAAGGATCAGGCATACATACACTGGCCAGCACTTTATGGTATGGCCCCATGGCTCTACCTACCTGTCAGGGACCTGGGAAGTGTAACCTCACAGTCTGCCGAGGAAGGGGGCTAGGGCACAGACCTCAATAGTCCCCAGTGATCTCCATCTCAGTCTAACCCATCGAAAGCAGGCATCCCTCCAACCCCCAGATCCCATGACTGTTACATGTGATTTGTCTCTCTCTCCATCCTCAAAAATGCAGAAATCTCCTTGAAACCAGAAACCTCATGCATCTCTTTCACCTCCAAGTCCCCGGTGCCTGGCGTAGTACGTGCAATTGTAGATCCTCAACTGCTTGTCAACTCTTACAAGTCTGAGGACTCAGCTTTAACAGAATACTGAAACATCTGGCCCTAACCTGTTTGGCTCAGTGGATCGAGCATCGGCCTGTGGACTGAAAGGTTCCAGGTTTGATTCTTGGTTGCAGACACATACCCAGTAGGTGGTGTGCAGGAAGCAGCGGATCGATGTTTCTCTCTCATCGATGTTTCTAACTTTCCCTCTCTTCTCTGTAAAAAAAATCAATAAAATATGTATTTTTTAAATGAATATTGGAACATCTGGACCTGGCTGGCGTGGCTCAGTGGTCAGGTATCAACCTATGAACCAGGAGGTCACAGTTCAATCCCCAATCAGGGCACATGCCATGGTTGCAGGCTTGATCCCCAGTGTGGGGCATGCAGGGGGCAGCCAATCGATGGTTCTCTCATCATTGATGTTTCTATCCCTCTCCGTTCCTCTCTGAAATCAGTATACATGTATTTAAAATAATAATAATATTGGGACATCTGGGATGAATAGAACGAACGTGGCAGAGGAAGAACAAGAGGCTCCAGGCTCTTGCCCATTCTGCTCAGGGGTAACCACTGGCCAACAGCTGCCCTGGCCCCACCCTGGTTCTCATAGACTCCTACTCCCCAGGTCTCCCCACCGAACTGCCCGCCTGACCCCCATTCTTCACAGAAGCGATCACTGGTTCCAAACAAGTGGTTTATTTGCATTTAGAGAACAAGACCCAGGCCGCGGGGAAGGGCACTCACTCACTCCTCCTGGCCAGAGTGTGAAGGACTACAAACTTCCCCTCTCCCCAGCCTCACCCTCCCGCCCCGCTGCTACAAAAGACTCCTCTCTTGCCCCCGTTAAAACCTACTCAACTAAAAGAACAGACAACCCAGGGAGCTGCCCGGGAACAGTAAGTGGCTAACACTATGTAACTGGCCGCTCCCTTCCTGGTAACAAACAGCCCACCCCTGGAGAAGATACCCTGGAGCGCTCCCCGGGATGACACCCTGTGCTCCCATGGGTCGGATCCCATGTTTGAAGCAAGATAAAACCCCAGAACTCACTTAAAAACATCCCCCACGAGCTCAGAATTCCAATGCCAGCTCACCCCACCCCGGCCCAGTCCCTTTCACTGGAATTAATTCACCCGTGCCCATCTGGCTCATCCCCCCTCCAGAATCCTACCCCCCACCCCCCACCCCTGGGGCAAGCCAGCAGGCCACAGCTTCTACTTCTCATCGTACTCCTTCCTGGTCATCCACTCAGACTTGAACGTAGACAGATGAGCCACCATAGACGCTCCCAGCCAGACGCTGAAGTTCCTTTTGCTGCTACTGCACAGGGCGGCATTGGGGCAGGAGGCATACTGGGAGGCCAGCTCCGTGAACAGGCGCCGGTTGAAGCCCGGGTAGAGGGTGTTCCCCCCGCAGGCTATCACGTGCGGCAGGAGCTGGGGGTGCAGGTCGGCGTCGCAGCCTTTGATGGAGTCCAGCACCGCCTGGGAGACACTGGGCCGCTCCTGGTCGAACACCTGCGGGCTGAAGAACATCTCGGGGGCCAGGAGCTGCATGGGGGTCAGCTCCACGGAGGTGCCGTCCGGGAGCAGGTAGCTGTTGTCTTCGTCGTGGCCGCTGGGCAGGCTCTGGAAGTAGTCCAGCGCCTCCGCCAGGTTCTGCGGCACGTAGCATTTCTTCATCTTGACGGCGTCGACGGTCTGCAGCTGGAACAGCTTGTTCACTGTGCTGTCTTCCTTGAAGAGGCTCCTGGAGAGGTAGTCGGAGATATCCTGGCCGGCGAACTCCAGCGTCCTGCTGGTGTGCCGGATGGGGTGGCCCAGGTGGAAAGGCTGGACGCGGGTGAGGCCGCAGCCGGAATCCACCACCACACCCGTCAGGATGCCCGAGGCATACAGGGACATCTCCATCTGGCCAGCCAGGAGGAGGGCCGGGACATCCAGTAACTCAAACATAATCTGCAAGGAGGGAGGAGACAGGCACATGAGGTGTTTTCCCGGAACGAGGGTCTGACCCATTTCCACGCCCAGCTCTCAAACATGAAGTCAGCGTACAGACGTTACGTTCTCAAGCGACTAGCGGCTGCCCCCCAGAACGCCGAGCCCAGGGACCCTGGGGCTCCTCCTGTGGTGATGTAACTCCCCCAACTTAACACTCAGGAGCTTCCTGTCTAAGGAGAGCAGGGGTTGGCAAGCACCTTCTGTAAAGGGAGAGCGGGGTTGCCGGGTGTAGCAAATAAAAATGTAGGGTGCCCAGTTCAATGTGCATCTCAGATAAACAACAAAGGATGATTCAGGATAAGTATGTCCCATGCAATATTTGGGGCATACATTGTTAATGCTGAAGCATTCGTTACTGTATATCTGAGATCCCAATCTAACGAGGTATCGTGTATTTTATCTAGCAAACCTACAGTAGTAAATATTTTACGGGAGCCACAGTCTCTGATGCAACTACTCAACTCTGCTGTTGTCATAAAGGCAGCCATAGATGATATGTAAATAAGTGGGCATGGGCATGTGTACCGATAAAACTTTATCAAAACAGATGCTGGGCCAGATTTGGCCCACCAGCAGTAGGTAGTTTGTCAACCCTTAATTCAAAGTAAAATTCAAGTGCTTCTTCCCGCAGCTTACCAAGCCCGCCAGCACCGGTCCCTGCCAACCTCACCTTTCTGTCTCCCTCTTACCACTCTCACATCCCTGCCCGTTCACTGGGCTCCGGTCTCACTAGCTGAAACCTCCTCCTCCCCGATTACCCTCTTTAAAGGGGGTCCCCGATCCTCACCAGTTCATCCTCAGCACATTTAAATTTGTTTCTAGAACTGATCACTCTCTGGAGTTCTACTTTGTCAACAAAATTCTATTTTGTTCATAGTCACATCCTCCTCCAGAAGGTAAGCTCCTCGAGGGCCAGAATCTTATCTGTGACCATGACCGAATGTCCAGTGTCTCCCAGACATGCCCCTTCTAGAGCTTTTTCCTGCCGTCTCTCTCTCTGTGGGAAGAGCCTCCGTGAGTCCCTGGTGCCCAATGTCGGGCACACTTGAGATCTCAGAAAACATTCATGGGGCAAATGATTAAGAAAGAAGAGCTCCTAGCTCAATGGTTTGGCTCAGTGGATAGAGCGTCAGCCTGCGGACTGAAGAATCCCAGGTTCAATTCCGGTCAAGGGCATGTACCTTGGTTGCAGGCACATCCCCAATAGGAGGTGTGCAGAAGGCAGCTGATCGATGTTTCTCTTTCATCTATGTTTCCGACTCTCTCTCTCCCTTCCTCTCTAGAAAAAAAAAAGAAAAAAATATATATATATATTGGGGCATACGTTGTTTTATATATATATATATATATATATATATATATATTTTTTTTTTTTTTTTTTTAAGGAAGGAAGAAAGAAGAGCTCCTGGTAGCCAATCCTGTCCAAACACCACGTGCAGGCTGCCCCCCGCTCCTGGGGAGCGCAGCCCCGAGAAGGCCTTACCTCCAGGGTCTTCTTTCGGAACACAGGGTCCTTCAGGGGGGTCTCTGTGACCAGGACGGGGGTGTCCTCGTGCTCCATTCTCAGTTTCTCCAGGACGAAGGACCAGATGTGCTCCACGCCCTCCCAGTTGAGGACGCGGCCCCGCTGGATGGGGTAGCTGAAGGTCTCTGGGTTCAGGATGTCGATGCCGAGACCCAGGCGCCGCCGGGCGGAGCTGGGCCCCGGGTTCTCCTGGCACGGCCGGTAGTTGACGATGCTCGGCAGGATCAGCTGCGGCTCGTTCCAGCCCGAGAAGCCGGACTTCATGTAGCCAGAGCCGTGGTCGATGACGATGGTGTTCTCGGTCATGGCAGAGGAACCGCTGGGAGGGCTCTTCTGAACTTGGGGGTCTGGCACAGGCGGCCACCTGGGGAGGGGAAGGCGGGGGTTCCCTGTGAACCCATTCTGGCCGCCGCGGGCCGCCTCCCGCTCTCCACCCAGCGTCCAGCCTCCGGCTCCCCGAAGCCTGTCCGTTCCCGCGTCCAAGCCTTTGTGCCGGCTGCCACCCGCGCCCGGAAGGTTCTTCCCATCCCAGACTCCCTTCATCCCACTAGCCCCCCCGCCCCGGGCCGCCTGAGAACACGGGAGCGGAGGTGGGGCCCTCTGCAGAGTGTGTCACCAGGGAGTGCTCGGCGGCGGTTGGCTGCCTGGTTTGAGGACACACAGACGCTAACCAGCAGCCCGAGGGGCCACCGCCCTCCCCGGGAATGGTGCGGCAGGAGCCATGGTAACCGTGACAACGCCAGCGGCGACGGCAAGGACAGCTCCAGCTACCCTCTCCGAAGTGCATGCCCTCTCCAGCACTAGCAGAACCATCTGGCGCATTAGGTCAAAATGGGTCAAGTTGCCATCTGTATCAGTCAAAAACGGCCCACATCAGCAACTCCGTGTGTTCTGAACTTAATCCTCACCGCCATCTCCAAAGCAGGTACCACTGTCACACTCACTTTACAGATGGGGAAACTGAGGCACAGGTGTGGGGGAGGGGGGGGTGTTACAGTTCCTTTCCCTGGGCCACACAACTAATAAAAGCAGAGCTGAGAGCTGACCCCACATCAGACTCTGAACGCCGGGCGAGGCAGAAGAGGCAGGTTTGGAGTGTGAGCTGAGTGGCTCACTGATAAGGGAGGCTGTGAGGGAGGCATCCAACTAGGACTGTGGTCAGTTTCCTTGTATATGTAACGTGGGGAGAATAATAAGCTCCACGCTGAAAAAGTTAGGTGTGCTCATTTCCTGATTTCCAGGCTTCCTATAAAACGACAGCATTGGGGACATAGATCGGCGGAGTAACCAGCCCATACCAGAAAGGTCTTCAATCTTTGACCAGGTGCTAAAACAATGAGATGAAGGGAGAACCGTCTTTACAACTGTCTTTACAACCACTCGTGGGAACAACTGGATATCAAGAGGAGGAGGAAGAGTGAGGAGGAGGAGGAGGAGGAGGAGGAGGAGGAAGAAGAAGAGGAGGAGGAGGAGGAAGAAGAGGAGGAGGAGGGAGGAGGAGGAGGAGGAAGAAGAGGAGGAAGAAGAGGAGGAGGAGGAGGAGGAGGAGGGAGAAGGAGGAGGAAGAGGAAAAAGAAGAAGAGCAACAACAACTTAACAACTTTAAGGAATGGATTACCTCACACCTTATAAATAATTAAGTCAAAAGAGACTGTTTGTAAAACTTAAAACTATAAACCCTTTTTTAAAAAAAGAACAGGAGAAAATCATTATGACCTTAGGTCAGGTAAAGTTTTCTTAGATGTAACATCAATAGCTGGATACAGAAGAGGACAAATGGATGGATTGGAGTTCATCAAATGTGAGACCTTTTGCTCTTCAAAAGACACTGTGAAGAGACGAAAAAGATGAGCCATGGACTAGGAGGTAATTTGTACAAATCATATATCCCATAAAGATCTTGTATCCCAAAAACATAAAGAACTCCCAAAACCCAACAATAAGAAAAACAACTCCACTTGTTTGAAATGGGCAAGAGGTTTACACACTTCAAAAGAGAAGACACGCGATGACAAACACATGACAGATGCTCACCATCCTCAGCTGTTAGGAAAATGAACATGAAAATCACAACGAGATATTAACGTGCACCTATGAGAAAGGCTGGAGTTCAAGATCGACTGTGCCAAGTGCTGGCGAGGAGGTAGCGGGACTGGAACCCTCACACCCGGGGCTTGGGAAGGGGCACAGCCTCTGGGAAACAGTGTGGATGAAAACGTACATCCACACAAAGTCTTTATGTTCATGTTTAGAGTAGCTTTAGTCATGGTCACTGAAAACTAGAAACAACCTAAAATGCTTCACCTCAGGAGCAGATGAGCAAATCTCCATTCAATGGCACAACACTCGACAATAAAGAAGACTCAAGAACCAATAGCGTGCCCTAACCGGTTTGGCTCAGTGGATAGAGCATCAGCCTGCAGACTGAAGGGTCCCAGGTTTGATTCGGTCAAGGGCATGTACCTTGGTTGTGGGCACATCCCCAGTAGGAGGTGCGCAGAAGGCTGCTGATGGATGCTTCTCTCTCATCGATGTTTCTAACTCTCTCTCCCTCTCCCTTCCTCCCTGTAAAACAAATCAATAATATATATATATATATATATATATATATATATATATATATATATATAAAGAACCAATAATGTGAGCAAATCTCAGTGCATTAATCTGAGAGGAGCCAGACTCAATGTTTCTCTCTGTGTGTGTTCTCTCTTTGACTCTCTCTCTCTCTCGCCTCCCACCCCCCCATTTTCTCTAAATCAAAAAATCAATGCAAAAAATATCCTTACATGAGGATTAACAAAAAAAAAGAAAGAAAAAGGAAGAAAGGTTTTTTTAAAAAAGAAAAAGAAACATAGACACGTTCAAAAATGTTTTTAAAAATAGAAGAGAGAAATTGGTTGTGCTATAAAATTAAGATGAAAGACAAAAGATTATCCGTTAGATCTGGCAACAAAGAAGTCCCATGTAGCCTCTCCCAGACTCCAGACGGGCCCCTGCTCCCGAGGACATGTAGTCACAAAACAAACAAGGTGAGGAAGGCTCAGAAGTGAAAGGCCTGGCCACCAACACAGTGAACTTCTTCTGATCCTGGATCCAAAAAAAATTACCGGAAAGAACAATATTTATCCAATAGATGAACTATTATACAATGGAATACTAAACAATCTAACCCGTGGCAGGAAAGATGGAACACAGAACAACAGAAGAAATGGGGAGACAATGGTAGTAGACCTATGTCCAATAATATCAACAATCACATTAAAATGAAATGACCCAAGACACACCAACTGGAAGACTGAGATTGTTGGACTGGAATAACAACAGAAAGACCTAACTCCAGGCTTTAAATAAAACAACAAAGAGCAGTTGAAAGTAAAAGGAGGAGGAAAGATACCCCATGCAAAAATGGATCCAATGGGAGCTGGGGCAGCTACCTTAAATGAGACAAAGTAGATTCCAGAACAAGTTACCAGGAGCAAAAGCGGACATTGAATAATAAAAGGGTGAATTACCCTAAGGACAGAACAATCCTAAATACATATGCTTCTAACAACAGATATCCAAAAAAACAGATATTCAAAAATACTTCTTTACCTTTTTGCAGAAATAGTAAATGCCACCATTCTACCTATAGGCTTCAATCCATTTTTCAGAAATCAATAGGAAAAGGTAGATGAGTCAAGTTGGTTGTTCAGAAATTCTTTGCCAATTTTCTAACTGATAATTATAGAATACTTCATCAAACAATGGAATACAGATTCATTCCCCAAACACATGAAATGCTCTCAAAGACAGGCCACATTCTAAGCCACAACACAAATCTAGACAAACTTAGAATTAAAATCAAATAAAACATGTTCTCTGAACATAAAGGAATTAAGCTAGAAATCAAAAGCGGAGGGATAGCTGGGGAAATCCTCAAATATATAGAAATTAATGCAAGTCGCACATGGCTCAAAGAAAAAAAAATAGCAAATAATTTGAACTGAATAAAAATTAAAAATACAGCCTGTCAAAATGTATGAGATGCAGCTAAAGCAGTGCTCAGAGGGAATTTATAGCATTAAAGGTTTGTATTAGAAAAAGGTTTCAAGTTAATAACTTAAGCTTCCACCTTAAGAAAGTAGAAAAAAGAACATGTTAAACCCAAAGCAAGCAGAGGCTGAAAATAATAAGGAACAAAATTAATGAAACTGGAAATAAAACCAACAGAGAAAAGTCAATAAAACCAAAAGCTGGTTCTTTTGAGAAGATCGATAAATTGATAAACCTCTAGGCAGACTAAGAAAAAGGACACGAGACACAAAGGATTGATTTCAGGAATGAGGTGACATTACTTTGACTCTACAGACATGAGAAAAATAGCAAGAAAATATTATGAACAACTTTTTGCCTATTGATTTGACAACTTAGGTGAAATGGACAAATTCCTTCAAAAACATAATCTACCCAACTTCACTTAAGAAGAAATATATAACCTGAGTAACCCTATAACTATTAAAAGATTGGATTTTTAGTTAAAAACCTCCAACAAAGAAAACGTCAGGCCCAAATAGCGTCACTGGTAAATTCTACCGAACATCTAAGGAAGAAATGGTGCTGATTGTTCCCAATCCCTTCCAGAGAGCAGAAGAGGAAGGGACACACCCCAACTCGTTCTGTGAGGACAGCATTAGCTTGATACCAAAAGGTGCTATCACAAAAGAAAACTATAAACCAAAATCTCTCATGAGCACAGATATAAAAAAATTCTATCTAATAAGAGTAATATGCAAATTGAACATCACTCCAACACACAAGATGGCTGCCCCCATGTGGTCAAAGATACTGCCCCCATGTGGACACAAGATGGCCACCACAAGATGGCAGGCAGGGAAGGGCAGTTGGAAGGGACTCAGGCCTGCAGGGGAGAGCAGTTGAGGGGGACCAGACCTGCAGGAGAGGGCAGTTAGGGGCAATCAGGCTGGCAGGGGAGCAGTTAGACATCAATCAGGATGACGGGGGAGTGGTTAGGGGGTGATCAGGCTGGCAGGCAGAAGCTGTTAGGGGCAATCAAGCAAGCAGTTGGGAGCCAGGAGTCCTACGATTGTGAGAGGGATGTCCCAGATTGGTGCAGGCGGGGCTGAGCGACACTCCCCCCATGCATGAATTTTGTGCACTGGGCCTCTAGTTATCAATGAAATCACAGCAAACTCGGCAATATATAAAAAGGATAGTGTGGTTCAGTGGGTTGGAACATCATACTGAAAAGTTGCGGGTTCCATTCCCGCTCAGGGCATGTACTTGGGTTGTGGATTCAATCC